ACTTAACACACAATGGAATACTATGAAATATTGAAAAATAGCAATGAATCTATGAAATAGCTCGTAACATGTATGAACATAGAGGACCATATGTTGAGTGACATTAATTATAAAAAGACAAATGTTGTGTAAGACCAATATTGTAAAAGCTCAAGAAAAGGTTCTCATGCTAAAATAAACATTCTTTGACTATTACAAGGGATGGGTGGGAAGGGAGAGTAATTTCCTGTCTAGAGGGTAGACACATGTTAACTTAGGTGATGGGGAGGATAATATCCAAGAAGAGGGAGATTGGCAGTAGAATGATGAAGACAGGTCAAGACATAGGGAGGAATGCAATGGTTAAAGGGGATGGAGGTGAATACTGTTATGTACACAGCCCTGGCAAAATAGTGTTCTACAGGTAGATACATGGACAGATACACAGGCAGAATAGGTATGAGAGTGAGAATGGGAGTATAACGGTTTGACAGAAGATAGTTATGGGTATTTACCTTTGTTTCAAACACACCTATCAGTGTAGTAGAGCATAAAGAGGAAAAAATGATGAAAACTTCATAGATACTATCAGACATCTTAAAGGAACGAGTTGGTGGGCCTGGGGGCTCAGAACCATAGTTTCAAGGAACACTGTGTTCAGTTGGCATAACAATCCACCAAAACAATGCTCTACCTCTGACGCTGGTACATAGCGGTTGACATCTTAAAAACTCAGGAGTGGCCATCTAAGATGCAACTATTGGTCTCTCCAAGTGTGGAAGAAAGAAGAGTGATGAAAATTTGAAAATGCTTGGAATCAACTAGTCCAATGGCTCAATGGAACTTGTGAACATCATTTACCCTGACTCTAAGAACAGAAGAACTAGATGGTGTCTGGCTGTTACTATCAACTGCTCTGAAAGGGATCACATTAAAAGGTCCTGGATAGAGAGATAGTAAATGTGAAACAACACTCAAAATATAAAAAAGTCCAGATTTACTGTTCAGAAAGAGACTGGAGGAACCCAAGACAATGACTCTTGTCCACCCTTCAGGTCTGGACTAAAGCTCATCCTCATGGCCCAATCTTTAGCCAAGCAGTAGATAATTATACAGGGGGGACAACAACACTAGTAATTTATGCTCACCCAGGATTGATCAACTATTCAAGATTATAGGGCAACCTTTACCTAAGGACAAAGTCTAGAAGGGATGGGGAGGAACGCTGAATTCAAATAGAAACCACAGGGAGGGAGGAAGTGGGATAACAGATTTTACATGGAGGGAACTGCAATCATTGAGATGAAACAAAGTGCATGATATGTTGAGTGTGAAACTGATAATCTTTTCTGTAAACCTTCACTCAATTCACAATAAAAAGTTTAAAAAGGCAAAATCCCACTGCCATTGAGTCAATTCCAACTCAAAGTGACTCTTAGGACAGAAAACTGCCCCATGGGGCATCCAAGACTATAAACTTTATGAAAGCAGAATGCCTTATCTTTCTCCCATGAAGTAGCTGGTGAATTTGAACTGCTCACCAACCCATTAGCAATGGAGCGCTGAACTACTGTTGCTGTTGTTGTAAAGTTAACCACTGACCTTGCAGTTGAACCAACTTTGCAGTCTGACATTGTTAGGTACCTTCAAGTCAGTTCCAACTTATATGCACAATAGAGACGCTACCCAGTCCTGCACCATCCTCACATTGTTGCTGCCATTGTGTCTCACTGGGGGGTCTTGCTCTTTTTTTGATGATGCTCCACTTTTCTGAGCACAATGTCCTTCTTTAGAGACTGGTCCCTCCTTACATGTCGAAAGTTGTTGTTAAGTGCCATTGAATCTCTTCTGACTCATAGTGATCCTATATGGGGTTCCAAGGAGCAGCTGGTGGGTTTGAAATGCTGTTCTTATGGTTCAAACAGATCTTTTGGTCCAGTGCATTATCCTGCAACACCACACCAGGACTGCATGGCAATAACAAAAGATGCAAAGTTTTACTATCCTTGCTTCTAAAGCATATTCTGGCTGTACTTCTTCCCACAGAGATTTACCCATTCTTGGCTGTGTTTGGTACTTTCAGTATTCTTCACCAACACCATAATTTAAATGCAGAGATTCTTCTATGGTCTTCCTTATTCATTGTCCAACTTTCACATGCATGTGAGATGATTGAGGATACCATGGCTAGAGTCAGGTGCACATTAGCCCTCAAACTGACATCTTTACTCTGAAATCTTTTAAAGAAGTGTTTTGCAGCAGAATTTGCCTACTACAGTAAGTCACTTGATTTCTTGACTGCTGCTTCCATGAGTGTTGGCAAACTGTCTTTTCTCCATTTATCATTATATTTAGTAAAATATTAAAAGATTTTGGTTTTTTGTACAATGAGAGCAATTCCTACTGCAGGCTTTGTTCTTCATCAATATTTCAAGTCCTCTTCACTTTCAGCATTTTTAATAACTCCCAATTTTTTTAGATTAAAACACAATACATTCCGCATTCTGACAGCTGATGCATGTTTGCAACTATTTCTTCTCACGTTGAGTTGTGTCACCTAAGGAAATGAAAGTCTCAACAGTTTTGCTCCATCCAGGTCATTAAGGACAACTATACTTTGAGGAGTCAACTCTCTACCAGTTATGAATCAAGTGCCTTCTAACCTGAGGGACTCAGCTATTCATAATGTTTTCAATGGCTAAGCTTTCAGAAGTGGTTGAACGGTTCCCTCTTTCTAGTATGTCTTAGTCTGGAATCTATGCTAAAACCTGTCCAGTATGGCCTTGCTGGTATTTACAATACCAGTGGATTAGCTTTCAGCATCACAGCAACACACAAGTGACCACAGCACAACAAACTGACAGACACATAGTGAAGTAGGTCTATTATACAAGTTCTTTCTTTGATAAGAATCAAAGTTTTTACATAAGACCTTTAGAATGTTATTGAAAGAGAAAGAATGAATTATATTTGTCTTTTTTTCCCCCTGTAGATTAGAAAAAGTGGACACTTCCCAATGCCAGAACTTAAGTTGTTAATTTCATTCCCCAATTTGACATCAGATGGTTACCCTGTGCTGTACCCAACTGGATGGTCATCTTCTGATGTAAGTTACTTGTGCCTTAAAGCTGTCACTGGAGTTCTGTCTTTTCACTTTTTATTTATAGTTTAATTCTTCTTGACCTTGGTTCTTCTTGCTCTAAACTCCACTTGAGAGTAACATGGAAAGGGATTTAGAGCACTTTTTAAAATCATGTTAATAATTTCCACTGATTATTGAGTAAATTTTAGGTTTTTACAATTGATGTATCCTGGAAATGTTTGCTACAACTTTGATTTATCTAGCTTATCAAAACAACTCTAAAAAAAGCTTCTTAATTAATCTTAATCGCAAAGATGCACATAAATTAGATGCTAGTTAGGGAAGACTGGTACCTGTTTTATGATCACAAAAAATAAGAAATTTTCATTCAGATAAATAGAAGTAGATATGTTCTCCTTCACCATGATGTTTTTGAGACATTTAGGTATTTGAAACAACCTCAGATAAATATTTTAATCTATTTTTATTATGTTGTTGTTAAGTACCATCGAGTCAGTGCCAACTCATAGCAGGCCTGTATAGGGTTTCTGAGGAGCAGCCAGTAGGTTTGAACTACCAATCTTATAGTTAGCAGTCTAGTGCTTATTCTACAGCAAAGACCTCAGTGTCTGTTAATTAAGGAGATATATTACTGCATCTTTCTGTTTATAAAGAGTGTTTAGAGAATCTTTATTTTTTTTTTTACACACATTTTTTGCACAAGAACTTCATAGCTCCTAAATATTTTTCCTCTGTCTATACCCAGAATTCATTAGAATGAATTCAACATTTTCTTACATCTGTATTTTTCCTGATCCCACCATCTCCCATACTAGGAAAATAAAGAAAAGTTTAACTGCTGAAAAGATTCCCTTTTATGTAGTTTTGAGCTCTCACCATGGCGATGAATCTCCCCCATCAAAAATAAGAGATACAATATTGCTTATTCCCCCTAAACAATAGCAACATTACACCTGCTTTAACATGTACCATCAAATGAGTCTGTATAGCAGTTAATCTTTGTTGTTTAGTGTCTGAAATATTAAAATGCACAATAAGTATTGAATTAATTTTTCATCATTGATCGTTCTGTCTTTTTTCACAGATATTGAAAAGAAACTTATTCTTAGAAATAAAGAAATAGCAACCGTGATACTTGGCTTATAATCATATAAATATTTCCTATGCCTTTAGTCAATGAAAAATACACCATTTAGACTCTCGCTAGTTCAAAAACAGTAGCTTTCTGAGAATCTAGAAAGAAAAAGAATTGTACTTTTCATACCGAAAAAAAAAAAAAAATATGAAGCTCCTAACCTCTTAGCTTGGTTCAGCAATTTATTCTAATGGCCACGCAGGACGCAGACACCACACTCCCAGTTATGAGGTTCATTAGGGAAGTTAACAGGATCGGAAATGCTCAGGGCACAGTTTTTCCATCAGCTACTGATAAGTGCCCATAGGACACACCACTCCACCATAAAATTCATCCTGAAGGCACTTGGCCTAGCTCTGTGGGCCAGCAAACTTAACTCCCCAACTTAAATGCCTAGAGGCACCCCACTCTGCAAGCAAGCATCCTGTCCAAAGACTCAGCTTTACTTGCTCTGTGAGCTGCTAAGTCTACTGCTGTGTCTTATGCTGTGGTTCTTGGCTCTCCTGTTGCGGCTGCTCTGCCACTCCTCTGGGTTCCCAGCTTTACTGTTGCTGGGTTGAGGAGATTCAATCTTCAGGAATCTCAGGGTCCAAAAGACATGCTCCACTCCTGTCTCTTCTTCTTTGATGGTAGTGAGATCCACCTCCTGCTTCTGAGATGGCTCATTTTAAACCTACGCTAGAGTTTCAAGTTTTTACAATTACCATGAACTCTGCTAACATCCACAGCTGAGTCATGTCAGCCTATCAGTATCTTCTCCCACCTTCTCTAACAGAGACCCAGCATGATAGAAATGTTGGTGAAAGTTACAGACTTTGACTAGAAGAGCCATTAGATGATTCACTACACTACACATTACTTATGAACCTTTTTTTCATTACCTTTAATGAAGGTTGCAGAAAGTCCTAGGGGAAGCAAAAAGTGTAGTAGTTAAATTTAAATAAACCATTTAGAGAACCAGCTATCTTCTAAGTACAACATTTTAACATCCACTGGTGCATGAGAATTTCCTCTGTACTGCACATTCAAGATGGATATTTAGCATGTGATGATAACTGTCATTCACACATTTTCACATTGTTGTGCCAAACCATTTCTCCTTCTGACATCTGGCATTATCTGATTCAAGAAACATTTTCATTTCTTAGAATGCACACTGTAGACCCAGCAACCTTCAGGATCCTCTTGGAGTCAACTCTGGGAAGAAAACGGCTATATCCAAATCTGAAGATCTCAAACGAGGCACAATTCTGGTAAATTCAAATAACTCAAATGATGCTCATTTTACTCATGCTTTACATATGAATAAATTTAATAGATCCCTAGAAATAAGTAACGTGTTTTAAAATAGTGTCTATTATCAAATGGTAAGGATACTAATATGTACCTCTGGACATTTAAACAGGACTGCAGTACATGTAAATTTGCTACCATCACGTGTAATTTGATTCCTTCTGACATGAGCCAAGTGAATGTTTCACTTATATTATGGAAACCAACTTTCATCAAAGTAAGTGATTGCATTGTTTTGTACAAATATTGAGACAAATCGAGAACTACTGATTCCCTATTTCGTATGTGCAAAGCAGAGTACTGCTGTAGCAAGAACATGAGACAGGAAAGCAGAATAATAGGTTCCAAGCCCTAGATCTGCTTCCTCACCCTTATATGTAGGCCACAGGTTTTCAAGTCTGTTAGTAACAAAGTTATCATCAAGGTCTCCTTACACCTATACTCATATAGCATTCTTAGTCTTTCTGATCCTATTTCTTTGTACCTTAACAAGTAAACACTTCTACAATATGAAAACTTGTGCTTGTTTTAATAGTTTGGAAGTTAAGTAAAAGACAATAAATATTCCACTAACAGAGGGGAGAACTTGCATACTTCAGGGATTTGTGTGTTGTATCAGAATTTTATTTCTTGTAATATATTTTGGAGGCTATGCTTTAATCCCTGATAAAATAAATTTTGTCTGACAAGATCTTTTACCACTTACCCTATTTCTTTGGGAAGTGTTTACTTGGTCATATGAAATTTCCATTTTTCCCCTTGGTCATGTTCAATTGCTACTTTGTAAATCAAGAATTATTGAAAATCCGTAATTTGCTTAGTCCCAAATACGCATCCACATAATTTCTTTACCAGAGTTAGGTACCAAAGGAGGTAGACTTAAAGTTGTTTTTCTTTCCCCAAAGGGTAACTCAGAATAGAACTTATTCCATTCTGTAATAAGAACCTAAGTGAGAATTTAAAGGCAAGGGAGAGAGAGTGGGTACCCATTCATCATTTGCCACCACTAGTTCTGTTTGGGAAGTTAACAAACCCAGTATATTTAATCGCTCAGAAAAACCCTGGCTTTAAAAATTGCACTGTTCAAACATGACACATTTTCATAGCAATTAACATGATATTTAAAAAAAAATCCTACTTGCTTTTCAGGCACATTTTTCCAGCTTAAATCTTACTGTAAGGGCAGAACTTCAGAGTGAAAATGCATCCTTGGTTTTAAGTACTGGCAATCAAAAGAGAGAGGTAAGTGCAATGCTAAGTTTTGCAAACATTCCACATTTCACTCTGAATTTTGTAACATAATGTTTTATAATTGCTTATAGATCCTAAAGTAGTGACTAGAGCTGCTCTCAATAAGTGACAGACACATTTTGTTTCAAATTACACTTCATTAGCTTGAAGTGTGATTTCAGGCTAGTTCTTCTTTGTAAGAAGCTGGGAAAACCACGCTATTTACAATTAGTATGCCATGTTTGACTCTGTCACTTTTCTAACGATCACAGAAAATTGATGTTTTTACTTTCACCTTGATAACAAATGATGCACTTGTAATTTTCATCCTTAAAAACTGACATTAGGAAATGCGGTTGACATCTAAGGAGCAGATTTGAAAACCATTATCTTTGCAGGAAATACTTTTATACTATACAGGATTACAGGGCTATGTATACATTTTTTAACAGCATTTTCATGTAGCTATTAAAATCTGAAATAAAAATGAAGTACTATTCCCTAATACTTAATGTAGGTTTGAGTCCTTGATAAAAATAGGGTGGTGTAAGTTTTTATTTTTCCCCCTTATCCTTTTGTAAAATACAACTAAAGTCCTTATTGTGGGTGTAGGCACTTCAGCAAGATCCCCCCATTCTTATCATGGTACTGCTATTGTTAGGTGCCATTGAGTCATAGCTACTTTATATACAACAGAATGAAACCTGCAAGGCCCTGTGCCAGCCTCACAATTGTTGTTATGTTTGAACCCATTGTTTCAGCCACTATGCCTATCCATATCATTGAGGGTCTTTTTTGCTAATTGTTATCATGGTAGATTCTGGGTATGGCACTGTAGGATAAGCAATGGACCAAAAGATTGTTTTGAACCACAAGATTGGTGGTTATTCCAACAACAACAACATGCTCTGGTAGCATAGTGGATAACTAGCTAGGCTTTTGACTACAAGGTCAGAAGTTTGAACCTACCAGTCTCTCCTCCAGAGAAAGAGGAGGCTTTCTGCTCCTGTAAACATTTATAGCCTTGGAAACCCTATACAGGGTCACTCAGAGTCTGAACCAACTAAGTGGTAGACAGCCAATCACCATGCCTGTATATATATAATCCTATTTGGGAATGGGTTGTCTTTGTTATGTTAATGAGGCAGGATTAGTGTAGGTTGTATCTTGAGGCAATCTCTTTTGAGATACAGAAGAGGTTAAACAGGGGAGCAGAAGGGAGATGAGGGAAAAGAGATGCTAAATCACATGAGCATAAGTTCAAATAGACAGAACTGACCAAGACAGAAACCTTTCCCTCTAGAGCTGGCATCCTGAATTTGGACTTCTAGCCTGCTAAACTCTGAGAAAATCAATCACTGTTTGTTGAAGCTATCCATTTGTGGTATTTCTGAGGTATAGCAGAACCACACAACTAAGTTGGATGTGTTTAAAATCTGTCTTAAAAGGTCCTGTTCTGTATATAACTATAATACTTGTTGTTGTTAAGTGCCATCGAGTCAACTCTGACACATAGCGACCCTGTATAGGGTTTCCGAGGAGGAGCTGGTGAGCTTGAACCACCAACCTTGTAGTTCAAACAGCTTTGCAGTCTGGTGTATTTAACCCACAATGACATACCAGGCCTCCATCTATAATACTACTAGCACTATATTTCTCATGCATCAACTGTGACCTGAAAACTAGTTGCTATTAACGTAGTCTACAAAAACAATGTTCTACGTACATCCAAATCTGGTGAGTAGGGATTAGGATCTTAAAAGATGATGGACAGCCATCTATGGGGCAATTTTTGGTCTCTCCTTGTCCAGAGAAGAGTGATAAAATTTCAGTTGCTTAGAAACAAGTAGTCCAAGGGACTAATGAACTGTATGAGCATCAGACCAGAACTCGATAGTGCCCAGATACCACTACCAATGGAGTCCTGGGGTGGCATTGTGGGTTAATGTGCTGAACTGCAAAGTCAATTTGAACTGTAAGGTCAGTAGTTCAAGCTCACCAGATCCTCCTTGAAAACCAGTTGGAACCAACTCAACAGCACTTAACAACAACAACAACCACTACCAATTGCTCTGAAAGGGCCATATTAGTAGGTCCTGTAAAGAATGGTAGAAAATGTGAAACAAAACTCAAAAATCACAAGAAAGACCAGACTTACTGGTCAGATGGGGACTGGTGAACCCCTAAGGCTAGAACCCTTGGTTACCCCTAAGGTTTGAAATTGAAATCATTCCTGTGACTCAGTTTTCAGCCAAGCGATAGATAGGTCTACAGAAAGGACAATGCCAGTGATGTACTCACACCACAGAAGAGTCAAGCATTCAAGATTAAAAGGTTAGTATTTACTCAAGGACAAAATTCAGAAGGGTTTGCAAAAGAAAGAGGAATTGAAACAAGAAACACAGGAGGACGTGAGATGAGGGATATGATATTGAAGGGATTGCAATCATTAAGATTAAATGAAGTTTATGATTTGTTAAATGTAAAACTGGTGTTCTGCCCTGTAAATTTTCTCTCAAGTCACAATAAAAAGTTTTAAAAGAGCAAAGCTAGTTGCTACCGAGTTAACCCCTACTCAAAGCTCCCCATAGATATCAGAGCAGAACTATGCTCAGTAGGGTTTACAATGACTGATAATTCAAAAGTAGATTTTCAAGCTTTTCTTCCAAAGTACCTCTGGATGGGCTTAGACTTCCAACCTTTTGGCTAGTAGCTAAGTGCTTTAACCATTTATACCATGCCGAACTCCAGTAGTAATCTACCTGGAGTGATATAAGACGTTTGAATTGGTAGTGTTTGGACTGTACTGGCTTACATAGTGCTATGATACTGGAAGCTGTGGCAACAGTGTTTCAAACACCAGTATTGTCATCCAAGATGGAACATGCAGACTAAGAACAGACTAGAAAAAAGCAATAGGCAGTCTACTTCTAAGGGATTAACTACTGAAAAGTTTATGATTACCAGTGAAACATTATCTGATTTCATGCTGGAAAATGAGCCCCTCACGTTGGAAAGCACTCAAAATATGATTGAGGAAGAGCTGCCTTCACAAAGTAGTGTTGACCTTGATGATGTGGATAGAACAAAGCTTTCTATTCACCTACAAGGAAGGCCAGTTAACACTAGTTTATTCAAATTTACCAACTACTAAAGCCAGCTCTATAACAGACTGTCAGTTTGCTCATATGCAACTTCAGGTTGAAGCTGAAGAAAATTAAAGTAAGTCCACATGGTGCTGTAGGATAAACACTAGACTGAAAAGTCAATTTAAATCGCAAGGTCAGTGGTTCAAACTCACCAGCTGCTTTTCAGAAACTCTATACAAGGTTGCTATGAGCCAGAACTGACTCTATGGCACTTAACAACAACAACAAGAGTCAAACTGTAACCTGAGGATATCCCACCTGAATTTAGAGACCACCTCAAGAACAGATTTGATGCATTGAACACTAATCACCAGCCATCACACGTGTTGTGGAATGACATCAAAAAACATCATATATGAAGAAAGAAAAGACTAAAATGGAGTCTAAGGAGACTGATACTTGTTTTTTTATTATAGAGTAGTTAAAATAAATGGAAGAAATAAGAAAGTAAAAGACCTGAAAATAACATTTCAAAGGGCAGCTTCAGAAGATAAAGTACTATAATGAAATGTGCAGAGACCTGGAGTTAGAAATAATGACTAGATTGCCAAAAGAACAAATAAACTTGTCTTAAAACTACATCCAGAATGTCCTTTAGAAGTGTAGACGGTGAAACTTCATCTGATGTTCTTAGACTTGTTAACAGGAGGGACCAGTCCCTGGAAAAGGACATTATGCTTAATAAAGCAGAGGGTCAGTGAAGGAGAGAAAGACCTCCAACAAAATGGATTAGTACAGTACCTTCAAAAATGGCTTCAAGCATAACAACAATTGTGAGGATGGTATAGGACCACTGTTTCATTGTGTGTTGCATAGGCCCACTATGATTCGGAGCTGACTCAACGGTACCTAGCAACAACAATACGTACACGTATCCACCCTGTTAGTTTCCTCTTCTATCCCAAATCTTCTCTCTGTTGTTGTTGGTATTTAGTGCTGTTGAGTTAGTTATGACTCATAGCAACCTGTGTAAGATTTCTGAGGAAAAGCTGGTGACTTTGAACTGCCCATTTTACAGTTCAAACCAACCAGTGTCGCATCAGGAATTGCTAGGATAGGAAATTGAGATGTTCCCTGTTAAATGCATATATAGACTCTTGAGCCATTATTAACCATTCATACCTACACTGTGTTAAATACCATTGAGTTGGTTTTGACTCATGGTGACCCTATATAGAGTTTTCAATGAGCAGATGATGAGTTTGAACCACTGACCTTATGGTTAGCAGTCTAGTGTTTATCTTACAGCACCCGACCAAGACTGAAAAAACTCAGAGATTTTTTCAGGGACTTAAAGGTGTGACACTTTGGGTTAATGCACTGGACTGCAATATCGGTTTGAATTGCAGGGTCAGAAGTTCAAGCTCACCAGTCGCTCCTTAGCAATCCTATACAGGGTTGGTGTGTGTCAGAACCAACTCGACAGCACTTAACAACAACAACAAAGGATGGGACACAGAGCAGACACTTTTCATTGAGATTTGCTTATCAGAATAATAGACCCTGAGTAGTTGAAACACTAAAAATATCCACCGCACAGCTTTACTTCAGTTGAGACCTCCTTACAGAGCTGAGTAAAAGAAAAGTCAAATGAGACAGACAGTACGGTACAATAACAAGACTGGAGGCAATAAATATGGACACGGAAATCATTTATATGTACGCTTGAGATTTGTGTATTTTACTGTATGAAAAATATACCTCGATTTCAAAACATAAAAAATAAAATCCATTAGCATCAGAATAATGAGATCCACTCAGCTTTTTATGTCAATTTGACCTGTGACCTTCCAACCCTAAACTTCACACTATTTGCATAGTGTAGTAAAATGTATTAATTATATCTTTAAACCATATGATATTTTTGGTTCCCCAGAATAAAGCAGAAATTCACCTCTGCCCTCAAACAATCTGATTGATTGATATTTTATTCTTCATGTATAAATTTCTGGAGGATAAGATGATAAATATTTTCACTAATAATAAATTTGACATGAAATTTAAGATAGAGAACATTTTCAAATTTAAGATCAAAGTTTTCTGTGCATGTAGTAATGAGATAGAAAACTGTAGCCTACTAGAATTCATTGTTCTGGGCGTGCTGCTAGGTGTTTATTAATGTTAACAATCTTGTTTCATAATTTCCAGCTTGCCATTCAAATATCCAAAGATGGGTTACCAGGCAGAGTGCCTTTATGGGTTATCCTGTTGAGTGCATTTGCTGGATTATTACTGTTAATGCTGCTCATATTAGCCCTGTGGAAGGTAAGCACCAGCATCCCTTTGACTTTCTATTTCTATCATCAACAGCATATTGAAAACTTAGGATGCATCCATGCTGCAGAATACAGTATTATACTGCTATACTGCTCGGGGAAAATGAAATGATGACCTGAATACAAAGGGAAAAGAGTTTATTTCTAACATGTCCTTTTCAGTAAAAGGAAAAAAACAAAAAAAACAGAAAAACAATATACACTTTGGACTGCATGCATCCCGAAATCATGGAGGGTCTTTTAAGAGGTTGGGATTATAGAGGACTTTCATATGTTTTTAACCTTTGAATTTTAATATAATCACATATTATTTTTATCAGCAGAGAATAATGAAAATATATTTTTGTAGAAAAAGAAAAGAATGAATTCCTATGTCAATTTAAAGGTGTATAATCAATTGTCTCATGGTTAAAATAAGTTTTGCCCTAATCACATATTTGTGTATCTGAAAAATCAAATGCTTCCTTTATATGCAAACATGCCACCTTTAATGCAATAAGGTGGGGGAAGTTATTAATTAGTTGATATAAAGAATGATTTACAATATCAGCATCCAATATCAAGTCCATTTGTTAAATTGAGTAGCCATCTGTTATCTCTGGGACAAATCTAGGGTTTTACACAGATATTTTGTTTAAACTGAGGTATGTAAGACTTTTGAACTCTTAGTAGAATTATTTTTAATGTCAGCAGAACTGAGATAATCACTTTTAGGGTAAATTTAATAGGGAATAAAATCCATTAAAAAATTTTAATGTAATGCTTTTTGAATTCAGCATCAAGTAAATTTTCTCCTACTACCACGGCTTTTATCTTTTCTAACTCTTCTATAATAATTGACTTCTTGCTCTTTGGGGATTATTATCTATGAAGAAAATAAGCAAACATATGTAAAAATTGCAGTGAGTAGCATTTAGTTAAGAAGATAGACTACATAGATTTTCTTCAGTGAAGTCCCCAAGAGAGGATTCTTCACCAAATCAAGTTTCCATAGTTTTCCTGGTTTACAAGATACCAGCCCTTTCTCTGTAATACCGGACTTTGCCACACTGTGGTACCCAAGGCCTGTTTTTTTGTTATCAAGGTTATAACTTCTCCATTTTTATGTGTTCCTCTGATAGAGAAAATGTTACTGCTGATTGCTTTCAGGATGGTCTTTTATTCTAGCATAGAATTTACCTGTATAGCTTTACTAAGCCCATGACAGCCAAAGAGGAGAAAACAGAGCTAATATTTGGATAGTATTCTCTATGGCTTCTGTTTAAAACAAACAAATCCTGCATTTTATTCACCTTTATAAAATCCAACAATGACCCCTTGGAAACCCTGCACTCACTCCATGGCTCTTAACAAAAACAACAGTCAGAAAAAGCACAAATGCATAATTAAACACATTCTTTCATCTAGTAAATTAATATTTTGATGTATCTTCATGGATTCTTAGATATTTTTCTTAGGCTCAAAGCAAGGTCATTTAACAAACCTTGGGACTATCATGACCAGTAGGTATGTTCAGTCACTTCCATGAGAGATAAAACAATCAGAACTCAAATTCCAAACTAGAAGTAAAAAAGTTACATACGGAATGCTTATCATATACCAGAACCATTTTTAGCATTTCCACATACTGTCTCATTTAATACAGCCTTAGGAGGTAGACACTATCATAAACCTAAATTTGTAAATGAGGAAAGATGAGTAGTTCCCAGGCTATCTGGTTGGTTAAGAGCCCTGGTAGCTCAGTAGGTTAAGCACTGGGCTGCTAACCAAGATGTATCATTGGTTCTGGTTCAAATCTCACAGTCATTCCATAGTAGAAAGCTGTGGCAGTCTGCTTCTACAAAGATCTTCAGCTTTGGGAGCCCTAGGGAGCATGTCTAGGTTACTAGAGAGTTACCATGAGTCAGATCGACTCAGTGGCAGTGGGCTGGAGGTTTTATGGTTAGTGAGGTTCAGAAGCACTGGCAGCATAGTGGGTTACATGTTGGGCTGCTAACCACAAGGTCTCTGCTAACCACCAGCCACTCTGCAGGAGAGAGATAAGACTGTTTTACTCCTGTAAAGATTTGTTGTTGTTAAGTGCCTTTGAGTCTGTTCCAACTCATAGCAACCCTGAATAGGGTTTCCAAGGAGCAGCTGAAGAGTGTGAACCACCAACTTGGTGGTTCAAAAGGACTTGCAGCCCAGTGCTTATACAATAGCACCATACCAGAAATTTCTAGCCTTGGAAACTCTATACAGCGTCATCACTCTGAGTCCAACTCAACGGCATACAACAAAAACAAGGTTCAGAACAAGGATTTGAATCTGGGTCCTTTTAATCCGGCATCCACACTATTAACCCGTCATTTTATAAGGATGCTTCAAAAATTTCATGGAAAAAACAGAATTAAAGGAGAATGGAATTTTTCCATAAACTTTTTGAAGCCCCTTTGTAGGTTCTTTCTTGCTTTCATTCATTCTGTTTACTTACAACAGCCTTTTCAATTTAGTCTTTTAATGACATTTTACACTTGAGGACATGAAAACAAGGAGAGATTAAGTAGCTCTTCCAAGATTGCCAAGTAGTAAGTGACTGGTTATGAGCAATGACCTACCTGCAAAACCTAACTTCTTTCCAAGATATCCCACTGCGGTGAGCGGGCTCTTTACCCTACAGCTACAGGAATTGGGTTTTGTTACAGAGAGTCAAGGAGTCTCTGAAATGTACAAAATATTTGGTTTCATATTGAGGGTTCATGGTTGGACTAAAAATTTCAGCAGATCCATTCTACTGAAAAGCTTATCCACATACCTTCTCTGAAACATGCATTCGGTGTGCAGTATAGACTCAGGAGAATTGCACTCATCCTTAGAAATCTTCGTATATTAACTAGATCTGAAGCAAAACACCTCAGGCTGTCCCTTCTTTCTCCTTTTTCTAAATCGCACCATTTTGAAGTTCATTTGAATGTCCTAGTTGGAGACTCGACTTCATTGAGGAACAGGTCAAAGTTTCCACCTGGAACAGTGACTCAGTTTCAAAAAAACACATCCTTTATAGATTTATTGTCATATGATTAAAAAAAAAAGAAACCCACGAACTCTTTCCCATTGAGTCAGTTCTAACTCATAGTAACCCTGTAAGACTGAATAGAACTGCCTCATAGGGTTTCCAGACATATATATCTTGAAGGAAATAGACTGGCACATCTTTATCCTGGGAAGTGGTTCTTGAGTTCAAACTGTGGACCTTTCAGTTAGCTGCTGAGCACTTAGCCACTGTGCCACCAGGGTTCCTCTTCACAGGACACATGAGCTTGAGAAAATCTTAGTAGCTAAGGAATGAATATACTTAATGTAGGTGACACAGATTTAAATAGGAAAAACATGTCTTGAAATAGTACCACTAGTGGCTTTCCTGCCATGCTGAGTGAGAAATCTATACTGTCTCTTTCCAGTATATCCCACTATTGTGAATGGACTGTACCCAACAGCTATGAGAATTATGTTTTATTGAAGAGGGTAAAAGACTCTCTGAAATGCACAAAAGTATTGAGTTTCATGAGTGCCCCTAGTTGAACCCAATTTTTTTTCAGCAGTTTCATTCTGCTGAAAATCTTACACACATATCTTCGCTGAAGCTATGTGGGTCCCTCCCTGAAATATACACTCAGTGTGCAGTAGACTTCATCCATGGAGGAACCCTGAGAATGCAAGAAGTCCTTCTCTCCTAACTTGATCTGATTATTATTAATTAATCTTAAAGCTTTTTTCCTCATGAAATGTATATTTCCTTAGGGGGTGGGGAATAGAACCTTTTTTAAAAAAAAAAAAAATCTCTTGTTCATTAATATGAAGTCATTCATTATACTTCTAATATCCACTCTAATCACTCAACTTTTCTTAAGATCGAAATGCTAAGAGAGTTGCTTGGGTGGAAAATTTGTGATAAAATAGAAATTAAGTTTAAAAATAGGACATTTATTATGTGAAGGGAAAGGAAGATTGAAAAGAAGCAAACTATTTCAAAGAGGATGGATCAAGGACTGGGTGGGGCAAGAAAGAGGAAAGCTATGTAATTCACCACCTGGTTTTATGAAAGCTAGTGCTGATTTATTTTAGAGTCGGGACATGTAGGTACACGTTAAAGAGGCCTAATGGTTTGGGAACTTGGGATGTTTATAGTTGGCTCAAACAAAAAAGCCTAGACATGTAGGAGAACTGCCATTCTGGGAAAGATGAGTTTATTATGACTTTCATGTTCATGTGTCCTTTTGTCAACTAGGAAATGCATACCTTTTCCTTATCTACCTCCTATTAGATCTGGCCTAGGGAAGTCAACCTTCTCTAATCTAAAAATACATGTTTTTCAACATTAATCTTATCCCCTCTAAGCCCTTAATTGGATTTTCCTGATGTGGTACTGTGGGTTAATGCCTTCCTTAATGCCTTGGACTGCAAGTTTGGTTTGAACTACAAGGTGGGCAGTTCTAGCTTACCAGCTGTTCCTTGGAAATCCTACACAGGGTTGCTATGAGTCAAAATTGGCTCAACAGCACTTAACAACTCTAAGCCCTCAATTGTTCAAGAATACAAAAATATGTAATTCTCTTACATAATTCACTATGTTGTTGTTGTTGTTATGTGCCATGGAGTCGGTTCCGGCTCATAGTGACCCTGTACAGAGTTTCCGAGGCTGTAAATCTTTACAGGAGCAGAAAGCCTCATCTTTCTCCTACGGAACAGCTGGTAGTTTTGAACTGCTGACTTTGCAGTTCACAGCCTGATTCGTGACCCCTACTTTACCAGAGCTCCTATAGCTTCATGATTAAATGATGTGGAATTACCATATTTTTAAATAATTGAATCATTGCCTCTGCTTGAAATATTATAACCCAATCTCAACTTGGAGGGAAAAGAAATTCATAGATTAAAAAAGCCACTTCTCTTTTTATTTTATTTTTTAATTCCTTTTTCTTTAAGATAAACATTTTAGATTAAATAACTTCTAAGGTCCACCCTAGTCATCACACTTTTATAGTTGTTGTTGGTCTATATAGTGGAAATGAATATATTTTGTGATGCCAAAAGTTACAAAGCATAATAAATTGTGATTCACATTCACTAGTATATATAATATTTCATATATTTAATAACTTCATTTTCATATCCTAATGATACAAGGTGTTTACAAACATATTCTTTATGTAAAGTCTATGTAGACAGATGTTCTAATAGGTTTAACGTTAGACCACTCAGAAATCGCTCCATCACCTGAACCACAGGTGTACCAAATAGATTCCCTATCCATTATTTGATGAAAGTTTCTTTCATATCTTGTCCTTAAAAAAAAAAAAAAAAAAAATTAAGACAAAGTAGAGTTAGTGCCAGCTAACTGCAGTTTATATGTCTTACAAAATATTTTCTCAGAACATTTAACACTATTTAAATAGAGAAATTATCTTTTACTAAGGATCCCAGGTAGCATAGTGGATTGTGAGTGAGGCTGCTAACTGCAAGGTCAGCAGTATGAATCTTGCAGCTGCTTCACAGGAGAAGAATGAGGCTTTCTGCTCCTGTAAAAATTTACAGCCTAGGAAACTATGCAGGGTTGCTATGAGTCAGAACTGACTCGACAGAACACAACCACCACCACCATAATCTCTCCTAGGGGGCATGATATAATTAATGAAAAAGTTAAAGACAAATAGCAATTTGATAATGTCATTTGATATTACTTAGTAAGTCTATAACCGATTCCACAGCACATAAGAACAGCAATAATAGGTCTATAAAAAATAATTTGCCAAGATGCTATTAAACTGAATTTTTTTTCTAGGAAGCTTAGTATATATTACCCAAATTCATATAATTAATTCTGTTGTTCTTTCTATTTTCTTAATAGATTGGATTCTTCAAAAGACCACTAAAAAAGAAAATGGAGAAATGAAATATTTTACAAGAAGATAAAACACAAACATTTTTTTCAATGATCTATCCTCAGGTTTGCCTTAAATATGTGACAAAAAATATGTCACTAAAGACATGGTCACATTATACTCGATCAGGGAGTAGTCATTTGGAAAAATAACAGATCAAGCATGATCCCAAAACAATAACATAAAGATATATTTTATAAAATGATGAAGGGTATTTTTAAAGAATTACTCATTTTTGAGTATTTAAACACAATTACAGTGTTTTTAGAGGAAGACTAACCTGCTTAAGTATGTTTATATAACAAATGTATTTAAGGAATGCATCAACAATTTCTATGATCAATGAAACATTTACTTTGAAAACAATATAAATTGAACTTTCCCCCTTGATTCCTGGTCTATATCCATATTCAATATTACAGCATTCATAAATACCAAGAAAGGAATTGCCTGTAAAATAATCACTTCCTCCAAGCCAGACGAGAAAAATTAACAATGATAAAATCCATATACTATATGGACTGAAAATAGGATTAACTCACCAGGAATACATTCAGCATCTTTGCTTTGGGTTCTGTATTTGCAGATTTTTTTTCCCAAGTTCTTTGGAAATGATGAAATTGAGCTGAAATTCTGTCTAGGATAGAAAATCAGGACTCATTGTTTAAAAACAAGTGCACTGAATGGATTCATGTAAACTTTTATAGTACACTCTTAATTTTGATACTGAGCTCTAAAATTCAAAATTCTTTTATATTGAAAACACAATTAAAGTAGTTTTTATTTGTTGCCACAAAATAGTAATTTGTCATGAAAACTACATTGCATGATGAATATGCTGATTTAGTTTCTGAATGGAATGTAACTGCCGAAGTAGATGCCACTGGAATGGTAAAATCATTTTTACTAAGCAGTTCTGGAATGGTAGGAGTCCCAGGATGTAACTCAAATTAGGAGTTTTCTCAACTTCTTGGTACATGGTTCCTTTGGACCCCCAGGCTGTGAGAATGTGTTTATTTTTATTTTTTGGAAGATAATTAATTTTCCAAACACAGTTCTTATTTTTATAGAAAGACAGTATTCCAGTTCAGTATTGCATTTTACCAAGTCACTGTTTTTGAGTGTGAGCTACCAATATGTAAATACAACCCCAGAAGTCTGTGCTTCTTTGTTCTTGAAGTATTCATTATGTTGCATTGGACTCTACTATAGCATATACTCCTAGGTTGCTCTCGTTCTTAGGAAAATAACAGTGAACGAATGTATAATGGCTGCATGTGTGAACTACTGCTGTAAAGTTTGCTGACACTTCTGCAACAGCTCCATCTCTCCACCTGCTTTTCCATCATAAGACCATAACTTACAGTTATCCAAAAAGTCATGGACTCTGGTTTTCTCAAAAAGCAGCAAATCAAGAGAGAATATGAATGTCATGGATTGGAGTTTTAGAAACTAGCTTCCAAGGAATTATCTAAGGACTCAGTGTCAGCCTACCTCATGGCTTTCCATATCTATATCTGAGTTCCTGATGTTCCATTGATGCCCCTGGGTATGCCACAGTCATCTGTAGTTTAAAGAAAGTTCAAGTGTTTCCAAAGAATTGATGCTCCTCAGAAGGCCTGTCATGACAAGAAATGCCCACTTTTGGAACTTAATTCCAACCAACTCCAGATTAAGTCATTATTCTTTCCATATGTTCTTTGCCCAACAAAACCAGGATCTCTCTCAATTAGGGTTATCATGTTGCACATCTGCAGTGCACAGCCTGCTCAGCAGCCTCACTCCAGCCTCGGCATTCTTAAAAGGAAATAGAACAAGTAAAATGAAATTCGCAAAGCATTTACTGAACACACAGTGTGTACATTTAAACTAAATACATTGGTAATCCAAAAGAGAAAATAGAAAAATTATGGCATTTCAAACTTTTAAGGAAGGAGAGAAAGAGTTGTTGGAATAGGAAAAATAGTTATTTATAAGCCTGGCACAATTTTTAATGTCTTCACCAATTATAGAACAAAATATTTAATGAATGAGAGAATATATTTCTTTAATAATTTGTTAAGATTTGTGCATACATGTGTAGGTGTGCATGATGTTTGTATGTACATACCCACACAGACTGAATACAAAATAACACCACATACCAGAGTTTACAAAAAATAAAAATAAAAAATATACACCAATAAGCAAAGTTTGATTTGTCCACTTTGCATATAGTTTTTATTTTCATTAATTTTTAGGTTCTGGTTTAGCTCTGCAGCTACCTAAGGAACATAAATGTAGACACTCAGATTAGAAAATAAGTCAACAGATGTCCCAAATTAGCTTTGTACAAATGTGCTAAAATGCATTCAATGACTAAGAAATACACTAAACTATTTTATTTTCAAATATTTATTTTTTAAAATGGGTGATATATAGACTATATATGAACTTACTAACTCAATTGTCTAATTGTTTGTGTTATTTTAAACTTTGCTATTTAAAAAAGAGGGGTCTGGTATAGTCTGTAGGATAAGCACTGGACTGGAAACTGCAAAGTCAGAAGTTCAAACCCACCAGTCGCTTCTCAGAAACCTTATATAGGGTCACAATGAGTCAGAACTGACTCAATGGCACTTAATTACGTTTTTAAAAACGGATTTTTACTTCAGTTATTAATGAACTATATACTCCCTTTAATGTCCAAAACCTACCTATGGTATATTAATAAATTGCTTAACAATCAACTCTCCAGGAAGAAGAAACCCTGATCAGTATTATTTATCAATTTCAGTTGTGTAAACATGCTTACCATCCATGGTCAGTTTTAGGCTACCAATGTAGCTCTAATTAGTTCACAAAATTCTTGAAAATATATCAGTAAGCTCTGATGAACCCAAATGAACTAGCATCAGCATACTGCTGAGCCAGATATGAATTAGATAAATATAGATATTGATATAAGCTAACATAACTCCTATATGCATATATACATAGAATATACATATAATCACCTTCAGATTATCCTGAAAATGAGGATTATATCAAACCTAGTAGATACTTTATGTAGTTTCTCTTCTAAAATTTTAACCTTCCTTTACTATGAATAAAATGTTATAAACTAGCAAGAGAAGGAAGGTATCAAAAGCAAATAAATAACAAAAGTTATAATATGTAAAAAATCATCAGCTCTAGAGATACTCAAAGGAGCAGTTTCACTTTCTCAGGGAGGCTAGAGCCCTGTGAGTAACATTGAGAAAGATTCAATTTGAAGTTTAACATCAATGATGAAATTTGTTAAACCACTTCCCTCTGAACACCAGAGTCATTGGGCAACTTAATTGCTGAATATTTTCCATGTTGTATGTGTGCTTGAGAAGACTTGTAAGACTTACAATGATTTTTCTAAAATTTGATACTTAACTACAACAGTACAATCTTCCTGCCTATCTATGTCAATGGTAGTGCAATGGTTATATGTGTGTATATTCATGTAGAGAGAGAGAGGGGGAAAGAGAGAGAGAGCAGACAGCTGGAAGAGGGGGTCAGGTCCTGGTGTGGTGCTGTAGGATAAGCACTGGACTGCTAATTCTTCAGAAACCTATATAGGGTTGCTATGAGTCAGAACTGACGCAATGGCACTTATTGTATATATGTATATATATATAGAGAGAGAGACAGAGACAGAGACAGGGTCAGAGAGAGAAACAAAGACAGAGACAGAGAGGAGAGAGAGACATACATAAATTCCTCTTCCCTTGTATAAAACCAACGTCTAATGCAATTGGAGTCTTGGAGTCCTCATATGGCACTGTAGGTTAAGCTGCTCACTGTAAGGTCAACATTTCAAACCCACCAGCCACACCATAGAAACCCTATACAGGGTCACTTTGAGTCAGAACCAACTCAATGGCACTTAACAAGCTCAATTGAGAAAAAGAAATGTTTGTACCAAAAGAAAATGTGGCTGCATTGTAATCAAGTAAAGCTGAAAAGCTGTCCAAGATGATTCCCTTCTGGCATCTCTGGAGGTTCACAGCATGCACTCTGTAGAACATCTGTCCACTAGCTTCTGTGGAGCGTGTTTTCAGACGTGGCACGTGTCTTTGTTGAACAACACATTGTAATCTGCTCCATCTGAATTGACTATCTTCCTGTGTGCATCATTGAGCAAACTAAGGAAGACCCACTTCTGTGCTAGATACAATCAGATTATTGTTCAAATAAAGAAGCTGCTTCTGGCAAATTGGTTTATAAAAATAGTATTCCATGCACTCTTATTTTCAAATCTCCTTAAGTCTGTTCCCAAGGGAGATTTTAGAGAAGATACTTGGAGAAATGCCTGGTAATGAAACGTGCTCTATTTACTGTAATACCAGCTTCAGTGAGTTGCCCATTTAACACCAGAGTTAAGTCCTCAGTTCTTCAGTGGTGTACTAAAGGATTAGATAGTATAATACAGTGGAACGAAGGTGAAATGTGCTACCGACAAGGAACATCTTGAAGAAATATATATACAATTATGAATCACTATCATGAGTTGGAATTGACCGCATGACAACCCACAACAAAATGGCGCTTCATCAGCCACTGTGACGAGGGGAAGCTGTCAAGAGTTAGCCTTTTGTTGGGTTTCTAAAGGATAATTAAAAATGGAAAAACAGGATTTTTAAATCCTTACATTAATGCCGTTTTGTGTTTTTTTTTTTTTAACTAAAATATACATTCAAAGCATAAATAGAATTTTTGATACAAACACAGCTTCAAGATGAATCCATTAAGCACCTCCTTACAATCACTTAGCTGTTCCTATACTCTTACATAAAAATTCTGAACACATCACTGGAGGTCAGCACTGTTAAAGCCTAATATTTTAATCTGATGAATCAGACTCTTTAGTCATCATTTTAAAAGTTAATCTCAAATTTATAAATTCATAGATAACAACTTTCAACTATCAACACTGAGAACATATAAAAGAGGATATGTAGGCTCTTAAGTCCTGTTGTCCCCTACAATAGACCAAAGAGATCCAGTTCTTACGTGCTGGGAAGGGATCCAACGCCTGGAATAAAGACCTGAGCATCATTTCTGAATCCTTTACTGAGGACTGGGAAGTAGGAGCCAGACGAAATTTTCAGGATCTCTCTGCTTTCTGCCTTCCAGTTGCTTTCTTCTCTTCTCAGTAGCCCAGTGAGAGTCTTTTGTTCTGTTTTAGGGTTTCCCCAGCAAGACCATCTTATACCTAGTGTCCCATGTAGGGCATTGAATGATGGCATGTAATCTTTGTTGGTGAGCTGAAACTCTAATCCTTGAGTTATCTGACATCATGAAAATCACATCAATAAAACAGGGACATTCCCCCACCCTTTTGGTTTACTTTTTTTAAATTTTGCTGAAAAAATTTAGCATGTTTCTAGTCAAGTTCTTATGGAAAAAAAATATAAAATCTAGAATTTGAGGAATTCTACAATAGACTGAAAATGTTTAATGTTTTCTTTTACTTGGTTTGCTGTCTGTATATACTGAGGACCATATTAGAAAAAGAAACCATCCAAAGAACACAAAATGAAAGCCTGGATCCGATTAAACAATCTTTTGCTGGTAGTATTCAATTCCCCACCCTGTTTTTCAAGAAATAGAAAGAGTGAATGACTATAATTGTTTCTCTTCTCCCCAGAGTAGCCAAACAGAAGGGAGCAACCACACAGAACTTAGCGAACACTTTCTGGCATCATAAACCCAGTACCAGGGAACAGTCTTACTGTCTTCTCCCCTCAGGCATCTTGAACCTTGAGAGATCGGAGGAGGGGGAAATTATGAAGCTATTTTTCTTTGTCTACATTAATCCTCACTCCTCAAATTTACCGTAAGCTCATACCCAATCCTCAATACTAGTACATGTATTTTGCACAAGTAAATTGTTGATTAAGTAAAAGCAAAATATGTATATTTACCTGTCTTTGATAAGATGAATCTCGTGGAGTTTGACATAGTTTGGGCTCAGGCAGAAACACTCACTTGAAGCAGCAACAGCTCAGTCCTCCCTTATACCTGAACCATTTCAAATATCACACATTCAGTATTGTATGTTTGATTTCTGAGATACTGTTTGTCCTTAAGGATACCACAGCAGCTCAACATTCCTTACTAGGAAACATGAGCCTGTTCAGAGAAT